GTGGCTGGTTTGATTCTTGAGAAGATTGACATGGCCCGCAATGAGATGCGTTCCTATGTCTACAACAGGTATGTGAATTATGGTCCTGTGTGCCGAGTGTGACCTGGAACCCGCGAGGGACGGTGACGGCGGCCGGGCCGGGGAGGGGGGGGGGCGGGGGGGGGAAGGGGGGGGGCTTAGGTGGCAAGGAAGAAGGTACCGGGTGACATACGAGTATACCCATGGGTATATATGGTGTGTGTATGGAAAGTGTGTGTGTGTGTGGGCAATGTGTGTGGGGGCTTGCGGCTGCTGTGGGGAATGGTTACGGCTTGCTGGCTTATGCGCCTGTGCAATGGTTGCCGGCGCAGAGCAAAGGGTCTCAGTCGGCGTGGAACGAATGGCTCCTTTTTTTTGCGTCTGTTGAGTGATCATGATCATGGCCGGGTGCATGGGGATGGAGTTGAAGGGGGCGGGGGGCGGAGCGAGTGATAGTAATGGTGATCAAGATCGTGGTCGTGGTGGTGTGGTGATGGCGAATGATGATGATTGTAGCGACAATCATGATGATGTTGATGATGATGATGATGATGATGTTGATGTATTGATCGTGGTTGATGGTGGCGGTGATGGGTGGGCTTTGTACTTACGAGAGCAAGTGTGCGTGTGTGATGGTGTTCAGGCATATCTTCCACTACTCGATCGAGGACGGGATGGTGTACATGTGCATGGCAGATGAGGACATGTCGCGGCGCATTCCGTTTGCTTTCCTCGCCGACATCAAGAACCGGTGGAAGGCTACGTACGGGTCGCGTGGGCGGTCGGCGATGGCGTACGGGATGAATGATGAGTTCTCCCGGGTCCTCTCCAAGCAGATGGACTACTACTCGCACAACCCGGAGGCCGACCGCATCAACCAGGTCAAGGGCGGGCTCGAGGACGTCAAGTCGATCATGGTCTCCAACATCGAGAAGGTGCTTGAGCGCGGCGAGCGCATCGAACTCCTGGTTGACAAGACCGATGCGCTCTCGAGCTCAGCACTCAACTTTAAGAACAAGTCCAGAACGCTCAAGCGCCACATGTGGTGGAAGAACGCAAAGCTGACCATCATCATCGCCGTGGTCGTCATCCTCATCTTCTACTTTATCCTCGCGGCAGCATGCGGCGGCCTCGATCTCAAGCCCAAGTGCGTGCACGACAAGAAGAAGAAGTAAACGCCTTTCTCTCTCCCTCGCTCGCTCGGCATGTCCTGCCCGTGCATGCTCAGCCAAAGACCGCTGCCAGCTCGCCGTCGCCGAGCGCGCGCCTGCTCCGCACGCTTGCATTGGCGTCGGCGTACGAGAGCACTCGGTCAGCCATCCGCGCCTTGAGCGCCTGCACCGCGAGCAGCCTCTCCTCTACAGAGTCGCGAATGACCAGCCGCTCGATGGCCACCGCCCGGCTCTGCCCGATGCGGTGGACCCGGTCAAAGGCCTGCTCCTCCACCGCCGGATTCCACCACAGGTCCATCATGAAGACCCGCGATGCCGCAGTCAGATTGAGGCCCAGCGCGCCGACTTTGAGCGAGACAAGGAAGATCCGCAGCGAGTCACGCTCCTTGAACGCATCCACAGCCGCCGCCCGCTCGTTCGACGACATCGTCCCGTCGAGCCGCACATACTCGAGCCCGGCCGTGCCAAGCGCGTCGCCCACCACACTCAGCATGGTTGTCCACTGCGAGAACACAATTGCCTTGACGCCGTCGTCCTCCGCCACCATCTGCTGCAGCGCTCGGACCACATAGTCAACCTTGGCCGACGACAGCCGGCGATCCCCGTCCTGAGCCACCACAGCGCGCGCCTCCCACTTGAACTCGCGCGCCTGCCCGCAGTACGGGCAGGTCTCGGCGATGTCGCCGTGCCGGGCTGCGGCCTCGTCAAGCAGCGCCGCGCACTCGTTGCACTGGAACGCGCCGCAGCATCTTGCGCTCCGCCCGCTTACACTTCCGGCGCCGGGCCCCGAGCAGTGCGCACACGCCGCGTCGTCACTCTCACATTGGCCGCTTTCAAGTGCGGCGTTGCCCAGATCGAGCGCGCCCATCTGCGCCACCAGGCTTCCGAGGCCGTCATCATCATTGTTTGGCACTTGCGCCTGCACCGGTGCAAGTTCTGCGCGCAGCTGAGCGGGGACCAGCTCGGGCGATGCGCATGTCTGCTGCATTCGCATGTAGAGCGTGAGCAGGGCGCCACGCGGGAGCTCGCCGCCGCAGCGGGCAGTGAGCAGCGACTTGCCGCGATCGTGCAGCGCAGCATACAGCGCCGCCTGCTCCGGGCTCGGCTCAAGCCTCACCACCGAGATTGTCCGCTCCGGCAACGCCTTTTCCAGCACCTCCTTGGTCCGGCGAAGCATGCACTTGACAAGGACCGAGGAGAGGAGAGTGCGGCCGGCGAGGCCGGTCTCGATGACCCGGGCCTGGAACGCGGGCTTGGCGTCGAGGCCGGGGACGCGGAGGAAGGCCAGGTACGACCCGATGTCGTGGAGGGTGTTGGAGATGGGGGTGCCGGTGAGGATCCAGCGGTGCTGGGCCTCGAGCGCCAGCGCCGCCGCCGCCCGCTGCGTCGCCAAGTTGTTGATGGCGTGGCCTTCGTCGAGCATGATCCGAAACCAGCCGGCCATGCCGCCGGGCTGCGGCTCGGAGACGAGGGTGCCGTACGTGGTGAGCACGACGTCGGCCGAGCCGAGCTCGAGCGAGCGCCGCCCAGATCCATGGTAGAGGACGACGTCGAGGCCGACAGCGTCGACCACAAACCGGCCCAGCTCGGCCTGCCACTGGCGAAGGAGCGAGAGCGGCGCGACAACGAGCGTGCCGCCGCGGGGCTCGCCGGCTCCGGCCTCGGCCTGCCACGCCCGCGCCTCAGCCAGGGATCCAACCACCAGCGCCAGCGACTGGATGGTCTTGCCGAGGCCCATGCCATCGGCGAGGACGCCGCCGGCAAATGAGCCGGCCTCCTGGGCCCGCATCCAACCGAGGCCTACCCGCTGATGCGGGAGGAGCTCAAGGTCGAGGCCGTCGGGCGTTGCCGCAGGCTTGGCGTCGGTCACCGCCACCACCGAGTCAAGCCACGAGCCGAGGCTCTCGCCTCGTGACACCAGCTGCCGAGCCTCGGCGTGGGCGTCGACGTGGCCGAGTGCGGTCGCGGTGATGCTCTGCGCTGCCGCCACCAGCTTCTCGCCATCGGCGGCGGTGCCGGGGTCGACATCGGGCTTGGCCACACTCGCTGCCACCTTGCTCGCCAACACTGAGATGTGGCGCAGGAGCTGCAGCCGCTCGCGATGCGCACGGCCGCGAAGGCTATCGAGCGAGGACTCACTGCAAGCCGCAAGCTTGGCAAGCGCATCTGCAAGCCGCTCGACTAGCTGCTCGGCGGTGAGTGGTAGGGACGACCGCGCCGATGATGACGCCGCAGGCTGCATTGCTGGCTTGCTGGCAGGCAGCCGGGCTAGCGATGGCGCCGCCGCCAGCGGATGATGGCGCGCCACATGGCCTGCCTTGGCCTCGATCGTCCGCTGCAGGTACTGCATCTCCTTCACTCGCATGTCCTCCGAGGACCGGATGCATGCGAGGCAGAAGAACCGCTCGACGTCGAGCGCCACGGCCACGACGCCATCATCGAGCGCAACTGCACGGAGCATGTGGGTCTGCGCCGGCGGTAGCTCGAGAGTGAGTGGGCCGCCGCTTTCGGCAACGCGCCACTCGGGTGCGGCCCGCCAATCGGCAGTAACAGCGGCATCGGCGTCGGCGTCAGCGGCGGCAGCGAGAATGAAAGACAGCCGGGAGCTCGCGACTTCGAGGCGCGATTGCGGCGGGCAGAGCGCAAGAGCCGAGCTCGCGAGATGCGGCTCCGGGAGGAGACCCGTTCCCGCACGCACGTCATCAAACGCGAGTGCAGCGCCGGCCACAGAGCCCGACCACGCCGCGTTGGAGTTGAGGGCGCGGGCGAGGCCGAGTGCTGCCGGGTAGTCGCGGAGCCGGATCTGGCAGACGAGCGGGACGATGGCGTGGAGGTAGAGTGAGGCAGGCTCCTTGTCCTGGTCAACAAGGCGGACGCGAGCGAGCGAGATGGGCGGCAGCAGCTGGTCGAGAGTGGCCCAGAGCGTGGCGTGGTGGCGGCCTTCGGGCGCATCGAGGGCATGGACGGCAAAGGTGCCCTTGCCCAAGGTCTTCCAGCTCTCGTTGAAGCGGACGTAGGCCTTGACGCGGGCCTTGAAAGCCATCGGTGCACCGGGCGCCAGAGCCCAGGCCCGCCAGTGGATCCGCTCTGGCCCGCGTGGCTCGACGTCGTACGCTGCCGGCCCGCGTCGTCCGTCCCGCACCTTGTACGCCACCCGCAGACCCTCGCCGAGCTGGCACGAAGCGCTGTTCCTATGGACAAACACATTGGCGCGTCCAGGCTGTGGCCCATCAGGCCGGATAAAGCCAAATCCCTTTGCCTCTTTCCATGTCACGACTACGCCCGTCGCCATCACCCGGCTGCTTGCCGGGCGTTGTCCATCAGAGGCATGGCGAGGGTGCGACTGTTCAGAGCCATGCACAGAGCGTGGAGCTCGGCCACGACTGCTCTTGTCCGATCCACCTCGACCTCTGCGACCACCTCGACCACCTCGACCACCTCGACCACCTCGACCACCTCGACCTCCGCGACCAGATCGACCTCCGCGACCGGATCGACCTCGGCCAGTGCCGCCATCTTCCACGCGTGCTCGTCCGCCTCGGCGACTCGTGTTTGGTTCGGCCGGGCGTCCGAGGGCTTTGCTCCGGCGACCACCTCCATCACTTCCATCAGCACTTCTACCTCCATGTACGTGTGTACTTGCTGCTGGTATGCTTGGCTCACTGGTCTCTGACATGTGGTGGATGTGGGTGGGCGTGGTGGAGTGGTGGCTGGCGGTGGGTATGAGCGGGGTGACTTGAGCGCGCCAAGTGTGTGCGAGTCGGGCGATGGCAGACGACCACCTCGGCGACGACATAGTGCGACTCGAGTGAGTGTGAGACAGAGCGAGGAGGAAAGAGGGAGAGAGTGTGTGCGTGTGATGAGAACTAGGTTTCTGTTGTTTTATTGCTCTGGGCTTAGAAGCGGAGCTTGGTGAAGAACCACTTGTGCTTGCCAGCGAGGAGCTTGGCGCGGAGCATGGACGAGGTCTCCTTGATGGCCTGGGCCTTGGCGGTGACCACGTCCTCACCGACGACGGTGCCGCGGGTGACGATCGGCTGGAAGTCGACGTCAAGCGAGTAGCGGGTCGGCATGAGGTGGTTGAAGTTGATGACCTTGACAAACGTGCGGAGGCGAGTCTTGCTGGCAAGGCGCTTGCGCGACATGCTGCGGGTAACCTTGCCCGGGTACTTGGCGAGGCCGACCACAACGGCGTGCGGGAACGGGTGCGCCTTGGTGCCCTCGGGGTGCGAGTTGACAATGACAGCCTTCGAGCCAGCGAACCGACCGGCAAGGACGATGACCACCTTGGACGTCTTGAGGCTATAGTCACAATCAAACAATCGCACACATGTACATATATATAATTGTCCTGTGAGTCACATGCCAGTATCCGTGTGCCGAGCGCTGCTGCTGCTCTCCTTCCTCCCCGGCCCCCCCCCGCACACAAAATTGCCATCACACTCGGTGCCTCCGAGCCGACCTTGTCACCGCGAGCAAGGGCCATCACAAGCGGCGAGAATAGCATCATCGGATCCAATGTAACGAGGACATGGGGGACAAGATGAGCAGTTCTATCTGCATGGCTTGGTGATGGTGACGCAGACGGTAAAGGATGACCAAGCTCTGCGACTAAAGGGCAAAGGCGAGGCCAAAGGTGGGTGGTGGGCCAGCGGGACGATGGAGCAAAAAATGGAGCGATGTCGAGGGCGAGACCAGCTGGTCGGAGACAGGGTGCACAGAGGGCATGGAGAGACTGGGAGATTGCAGATCAGGTGTGGAGATAGATTCGTTACAGAGGAGGAGTATAGGGATGGTGGGCAGAGTGCAGGCCAGAGGTACCGGGCTGTGGGGAGGCCGTGGATAGGAGGGCGGACAGACAAAATGGTCGGTGCCGACTCGGGAGCCGCCATCGGCTCCATCCCAGAGCCAGGGGCATGGACAGCGGGCTGGAGGGGGGTAGCTATGGTACCAGAGCACAGGAGTAGGTAGCATGGGTGCAGTACATGGTGGGAGGTGGTGACAATGCAGCAGGCGACATGGTACTAAGGCTGGAGGTGAACGTACAACTTGCTCATAGTATCTGTGTGTGGAGTGTTGCCTTGTTTGTCACATTGGTGAGAAACAGGGATTCGCGCGAGCTCAACTCGACTGCGAACGAACGAACGAACGAACGAACGAACGAACGAGCGAACGAACGAACGAACGAACGAACGATTGTACGCGGTAGGGGGGGGGGGTTGGGGGGTGCGGGTGATCAGGACAACCAAATTTTATCCTCTCCCCTCCCTCCCCCCTCTCCTCCCCTGCCCTGTTCTGTCCTGCCCTGCCTTGCCCCTGATCCAGCTACAGGATGCGGTACTTACCGACGTCCATGTTGCCCTCGCGAGCAGAGCGGCGCGATACGTCCTCAACCTTGTCGCGGATGAGGCGCCATGCGCGGACGACGTTGAGCCTGTCCTTGCCCTCGATGAGGGCGTAGAGCTTACGGTCGCCGTCCTTGGGCTTCCGGCCCGGGGCGACGTACGTGCCACGGACGGTGATGGCGGTGTCGGTCTCGTCGAGAATGTCGTTGAGGCCACCGTGGCGCGAGACAACCCAGCGAGCGTCCTTTGAGTAGTCGTTGATCTCGAGCTCGATGGCAAAGAGGTTGCCGTTGTTGGCAACGGGCGGGACGTCGCCGCCGGGCTGCGCGTCTGCTGCGGTGACGTTGGCGATCGAGGCGGCGGCGTGGATGCCCGAGCCAGACGTGCGCGCGAGGCGTGCGAGCGCGACAGCAACGAGGTCCATGGCTGACAGAGCCTTGCCGGCTTTGGCATTACTTGCCAGCTTGAGGCCGTCGGCGTAGAGCTTGTCAGCAAGGGTGACAATGTCAAAGTCCAGCTCGAGCTCGGCGTCGTCGCTGTTGGCTCGGGCGCGCGAGCCTGCGGCGGCCTGCTCAGCCATGGCGTCGAGGGCGAGGGCACGAAGCTGCTCCAGCGATGCGCCGTCTGCGGCAGCCTTAGCGACGGCAGCCTTGGTGGCGGCCGAGACGCCGCCGGACCGCGACGGAAGGCCGCGGCCAGAGTAGCCGGCGAGGCCGTAGGTCTTGACGAGGCCAGCCTCCTTCTTGGCCTCGAACGACTGGGCCATGGCGGTGAGCTCGGACGGAATGGGCAGCTCTGACCGAGTCAGGGCCTTGACCAGGATTGGGGCGTAGAGATCGTCGTCGGCCTTGGAGACCAGGGTGTAGGCGGTGCCCGAGGCGCCGGCGCGGCCGGTCCGGCCGACTCGCTGCTGGTACTCTTCGTAGTGGTTCGGCACGTGGTAGTTGATGACAAACGGGAGACCCTTGACGTCGAGGCCGCGAGTGGCCACGCCGGTGGCGATGAGGATGGGCAGAGCGCCGGCCTTGAACGACGAGATGGCGTCGAGGCGGTCGCCCTGGTCCATGCCGGCATGCAGAGCGGCGGCAACGTACTCGCGGTCGATGAGCGCGCGGAGGAGGGCGTCGGCGGCGTCGCGGGTGTCGACAAAGATGAGAACCTGGTCGTCGCCAACAGCCGAGTCGAGGAGGACAAGCAAGGCATCGAGGCGGCCGGCGTCCGACTGGACAATGACAAGCTTCTGCTCGACGGTGTCGGCGACTTTGGCACGGGCGCCCACTACGATTTGCAGCGGCGCAGTGAGGAACGTCTTGGCGGCCCGCTCCATGACCCGAGGAAAGGTGGCCGAGCACATGATGGTCTGCCGATCCGGCCGGGTTCCGGACAGCAGGCGCTCGATCTGGGTCGAGAAGCCCATGTCGAGCAGACGGTCGGCTTCGTCGAGAACGACATACGAGACTCGTGAGAGGTCGACAAAGCGGCCCGAGTTGAGCGAGATGAGGTCAAGGAGCCTGCCGGGTGTGGCCACGATGATGTCGACGCCGGCGCGGACCGCCGCAATCTGTGGCTGGATGTTCGAGCCGCCAAAGGCGCAGACCGAGGTCAGGCCGAGCTTCTTGGCCAGAGAGCGGACAACAACATAGAGCTGGGTACAGAGCTCGCGCGCCGGTGCAATGATGATGCCAATGGGCCCCTCACCGGCGCGAGTCCGTGGCTGATCGGCCACGTGCCGGAGCATTGGCAGGACAAAGGCGAGTGTCTTTCCCGAGCCTGTGGCAGCAATGCACAGCAGATCGCGACCCATCATTGCCGCCGGAATGGCCTGCGCCTGGATAGGCGTCGGCTCGACAAACCCAGCCTTGTCCATGGCGGTGTGGAGCGCCGCCGGGAGGCCGGCCTGCGAGAACCGCAAGATCGGTCGCGGGACCTTGCGCCCGCGGACCGTAATCGGCCCGTGCTCCGCCCGCCACGCCCGCACCTCGTCCTTGGTCATGGCGGCAATGGCCGGCACTTCGACGTAAAAGGACTTGCGGATGGGCCGTGCCGCAGCGGTAGCCACCGCGGCCGCCGCGTGCGCTGCGGGCGCCTCCTTCGGAATCGCCTTCTTCCCGCCACGCGTCAGATTCTGCTCATCCAGAATCGAAGAGAACTCGGGCAGCTCTGGCACCTCGGTCTCGCGCTCAAACAAACGAGTCCCACCACTTGCGCTGCTTGCAGCGAGATCAGCCGGCTCGGGAGCCTGCGAGAGAGTGACGGCCTCGCCACGGGCTAGAGCCGCCGCGGCCTCGGCCTCGGCCTTCTGGCTTGCCGTGATGGAATTGCCCGACAATCGCGAGACAGCACTCCCCATCTTTGCCATCGCCACGGATTTGTTCTTCTTGCTCGGCCGCAGCGGCGGCAGTGCCGCAAACAGCGAGTTTGTCCTCTTCCGCTTCTTCCTCCCGCCACCGAGCGAGACATTGAACGCTCCCGTGGCCGACGACGCGCCCGCGGGGACACCCACCAATACACCCATTCGACTCGTTGTCGACGTGCTCGTGTCCATGGCAACAGGCTCAGCGGCAGTCTTTGTCGTTGCTGGCAGCGATGCATCCCCACCACTCACAGTGCCTGCAACAGCAGCAGCAGCAGCAGCAGCAGCAGCAGCAGCAGCAGGAGCAGCAGCAGCAGCAGCCGTGCCAGCGGTGGTGGCACCCGTCGACCCCTTGCCCGCAGCCTGAGCAGCCTTCCACTCTGCCAGCTTGGCTCGCCTACGTGCGCGAGCTTCGTCGTCACTCATGCTGCAAGTGACTTCTTTGAGTGGTGGGGTGAGGTGAGTGAGGTGTGGTCCGCCCATAGCTGTACCTCCCGCCACAGCCTTGCGTTCGCCCTCACCCGGCGACTACCCGTCGCCACCGGCCACACCATTGATCCGCACCTGGCACGTACAGTACTGATCGTTGACCGAAGATGCAGAGATAAGGAGGTAGAGGTAGGCATCACACTCTAGTGATAGACCTAGCTATGGTAGAGATGCAGTCATGTGGCGCACACTCGACATATATCCTCAGCCTTATCATCAGCTAGCGCAAGGGTCTTTGGCCCGTCGCAGCTCGAGTCACACTCGGTAGCTTTTGGAGTATGAAGACAAACAAGTGACAAACATAGTCATAATCACTATCATTGGGAAGCACTGCTCTCTGCATGGGCACTTGCTGCTCCAAACCTCTACGAATTGACGACGACCTTGGCGGGAACGAGGAGGGCGAGGAGCTTGCTAGAAGCAACCAAGGACAAGGTCTTGTTGGAGTAGTTAGTACCTCTAACATTCATCCACATCTTGTACGTAACAACATACAATGTCATATATGTCATTCTTCTTCTTCATTCATCCCTATACCCATCCCCACACCTCTTCCCATGGCTCGCGCGCAACTTTCCTGCGTACTGCGACCGTTTGCCGAGCTCCGCCACCCCCCCCCCCCCCCCTTCCTCCTCCCCTACACCGACACATACGACCACCATACACATACCAATATATAGGTAGGGTGTTCTTTATCCTCTGGAGTATACTCTTCTTTGTGTACACTGTCCCCCCCCCCCCCCCCCTCCATATGGCCCACGCGTGTCCAGGGAAGGCAAGCCACCAGCCATGTCCCTCGCACCTCGCACCTCCCCCCTCCCCTCTCCTGTCTCTCCCGCTTAAGCCGACCATGGACATCACGCACACACGCTCTCCACCCATATGGCACACTCTTTATCTGTATCACTTACCCCTTCCTTATCTGTCTCTCTTGCTCTCCCTTGCCCTCTCACTCTCTCGCTCTCTCGCTCTCTCGCCCTATCTCTCTCTTTCTCGACGGGAATCATGGCGAATACCGACATTATGGCATCTGTTGGGGGGTTTATCGTATCTCGGCAACACCTCGCCTGCTTGCTCGCTTGTCTACCTGCGACCGCATGTTGCCATCGCGGTTGTATTGTACCTTGTACCGTATTGCTCCGCGATGATCTCGCTTGTGTTGGACGTGGATGGCGACGATGATGGTGCGCGGGGGGGGGGGGGGGGTGCTGGCGGCAGGGTGACGAGTCGGGCACATCATCGGTCAGCGACAGAGCTGGGGACTACGCGAGTGACGAGTGTAGCAGCAGAGACGATATGTCTGCAGAAAGTGACGCCGACCCGGCGTACGAGGTAGGGAAGCCCGGTTACGGCGGGTATGAGGCTGTGACGGAGCTGCCGCGCGGAGGGTTTGTGGTGGCAACCGAGTCTGCGGGCAACATCCAGTTTGTGCTTCCACCCGAGACTGTGAAAGACACGATGAACCTCAAGATTGCGACGCCCGAGCACTACGTGTTCTCTGAGCGGCGGTTCGACAAGATGCACGGGATCAACCTCGGCGAGTTTGAGTTTCCCACGTACTTTAACTTTTTCATCAAGCGTCGGCAGATCAACCTCATCTGCACGGCCGAGGGCGAGGCTGCGGTCCGGCGCATTTTCCAGGAGACGCTGCTTGGGCCCGAAGTCATTGACAACGCGGACGAGTTTGGCCCGGCGACGCCCGAGGAGGACCGGCCGGACCTGCGCAAGGAGCTCGACTACTTTGCACACAATCCGTTCAATCCGAGCGAGATGATGAAGATCGACGACCTGCTCCGGTTCACGACGTTTGACGACGACGGCGTGGCTGTGGTTGAAGGCGTGCAGATCATCCACGACGGCGAGAACTACCGCGTGGAGGAGGAGGGCAAGCTGGTGGCGATTGTGCCCGAGTTTGTGCACATTGATGTCGAACGAGCGGTGGCAGCATCGCAGCAAGAGTCGTCAGCAGAGATGTCACACCCTGTGGTGTTTGACCCACCGTCGCTCGGGGTGACAATGCTCGGGACGTCACATGGGTTTGACCCTATCGGGTGCACGACGGGCATGGTTGTGTGGATCAATGGGCGCGGAGTGGTGGTCGACCCACCGCCGCACTTTTCGCTCCACCTCAAGCGCAACCACACGCCGGCGGCGCTCATCGACGCAGTCATTCTCTCGCACTGCCACGCCGACCACGACTCAGGCACGTTCCAGCGGATCATCGAGGAGACCAAGGTGGTGGTCATGACAACGCCGACCATCATGAACTCGTTTGTTCGCAAGTACTCGGCCATCACCCGGCTACCAGAGGACTTTTTCTGGACACTCTTTGAGTTCCGACCGGTCAAGATCGGCGAGCCGGTGAGGTTCCGCGGCGGCGAGTTTGTCTTTCACTACTCGCTGCACTCGATCCCGTGCATCGGCTTTTCGCTCCAGTATGGCGGTAAGTCATTCATTTTCTCGGGAGACACGTGCAACGACCCAGAGCGGCTGCGCGGCATGTACGAGGCCGGCGTTCTTTCGCGGGGGCGATTTGAGCAGTTGGTCAACTTTGAGTGGCAGCACGACCTCATCTTGCACGAGGCCGGCGTGCCGCCCATCCACACCCCGCTCACCACCTTCCACCCGCTCTCGGACGAGATCAAGCACCGGCTGCTTCTGGTGCACACGGCAAAGAAGGACGTGCCGCCCGAGACCGGACTCTGCACGGCCTCGGCGGGCATCGAGCACACGGTCCGGCTCGACGTCGACGAGTCGCCACACCGTGAGGCCATCATGCTCATGGACCTGCTCTCGTCGATCGACCTCTTCCAGCACTTGCCCTTGGCGTACTCGTCGACGCTTCTGCACGCGGCGCGGCGGAAGACCTTTGAAGCTGAAGAGTATCTGGTGCGGCAGGGCGAGGATGGCGACACGTTCTTTGTCATGTCGTCGGGTCTGGTGTGCGTCGAGGTCAACGGCCGCCGGCTCGACAAGACCTTTACCACCGGCGACTACTTTGGCGAGATCTCCGTCTTTTCGCGCGACAAGCGGACGGCGTCGATCATCGCCCTCACCAACGCCGTCATCTACGAGTTTGGCGGCAACGAGCTCTTTGAGCTCCTCTCCGACGCCGGCGCCATTGACCGCCTGCGAAACGTCGCCGAGATGCGCCAGGAGCACTCGTGGGGCGTGATTGCCGGTAACTCGGTCCTCGCCCGGCTCACCTCGAACCAGAAGACCCAGTTGCAGGGCATTCTCGAGCGCTGCACGGCCGTGCCCGGCGAGGCGCTGTGGTGCGAGGGCGACGCCTACGAGCACTGTGTCCTGCTCGACGACGCCCAGCTGACCCTCACCTACCCGACCAAGACCACCCTTTCGGCGTCGTCGTCGCTGGCGCTCCAGGGCCAGACCTCGACCCGCACCTTTACCCGCTCGGCCTTCCTCTGCGAACTGTCGGCCCTCGAGGCCGCCCACACCGGCAACGTCTCGGCCGCCGTCCACACTACCGGGCTCGTCAACTCGAGCGAGTCCGATGCCGTCTACTTTCGCATCTCGGCCGCGGCCATGTCCGACTACCTGGCGCGGAATCCCGGGCTCAAGGTTGCCCTCTGGCACGAGTACTGGCTGGTGTAAACACACGAGTGAACTGCAACCGAGATGGCGAACTAGCCTCGCTTGCGGACCCGCTTCTTGCGGACAACGACGCGCTTCGTCTTGGTCTTGGTCTTGGTCTTGGTCTTGGTCTTGGTCTCGCCCGCTACTGCTGGCGACGCCGATCGCGATCTGGCACGAGAGGCCTTGGTCTTGCCGCGCGTCCCGCGCTTGGCCACGACCTTGCGCTTGGTGACGAGCCGAGTTGGGCGGGACTTGGCGGTGGCGGACTTGGGGCGTCCAGTCGGCGAGGCTGGGCGAGAGGCGGAGGCCGACGATGTCGGGCGCGACGATGCCGGGCGGCGCTTGACGACTCGGCGGGTGGTGCCGCGGGCGGAGCCACGGGTGCGGGCGGTTCCTCGGGTTCGGGAACGGCCACGTGCCTTGCCGCGGCCGCGGCCACGGCCACGGCCACGGCCACGGCCGCGAGCTGGCGGGGTGCGCGAGCGGGCCGAAGTGCGCTTTTTCTTGACGACCCTTTTGCGGGTGCGAGGCGACGATGGGCGCGACGAGGGACGCGACGAGGGGGCCGAGGGAAGCGAAGGCGGCGGCGATGGCGCAGCTGGAAGGACAGGTGGGCCCGGGCGAGTACCATCGCCACCGGGGCCAGGCGAGGTAAAGAGGGTGGCGGACGGGTCCGACGAGCGCTTGGCCATGGCCATGGTGCGGGCGGCATGGAGCGAGCGCTTGTGAAGGCCCTCGCGGACACACATGAGAAGGGCAGCATCAAGGAGTGATGCTTGCGGAGTGTGGATTACAAACTGGTAGACGTCCGAGAGGTGGTGGATCTCGAGAGCGAGCGAGCCCTGACCGACGGCCCAGCGCTTGATCTTCGAGTGGGCAAAGGCGAGGAGCAGCGAGCCGGACGGCACGTTCAGCACGCGCACGCCCTCCTCTGCCACCCCGATGCGAACCTGGCTGTCAGCAACCTGCAGACACGAGCACGGCGCAAGCCAGAGCGTGTTTGCGCCCGGAACAAGGGCCATCTCGGAGAGCAGGACTTGGGCAACGCCGACAGTGTCGAGGCCGTCCCACTTGGAGGCCTCGTCCAGAAGCAGCGCCCGCCACACGCCCGGCATGTGCACGCTCACCATCGAGCGCGGCAGTACATCCGAAAGCCGGCCAGCATCAAGAGCGCGGAGCTGGGCCTTGGACGCCGCGCCGCCCCAGGTGACGGCGAGGACCAGACCAGCGAGCTTGGCAGCGGTAGGCACGTCGAGATGGAGGATGCCAGCTCTGATCTGCTCTGCAGCATCTGCGGTGAGGAGAGCGAGGACAGCAGGATGATCAGCGGCGGCAGCACGGACGGCGTTAAAATGGAGGACGTTGAGACGGAGCGAGGGCGCACCAATGAGAGCAGGCCATCGAGCAATGATGGGAGCGAGGAGCGAGTGCGGCGGGAGATAGCGAGTGATGTCACCAACGACTTCGGTGAGGACAAACGAATGCCGCCAGTCTTCAGGCACAGGACTCGGCTTGTCTTCAGTTGACGTTGTCAAAGGCGTATGAAGCCATGAGAAGAGGTCAGCTGACGAGAGGAGAGCATCCACGAGTTCTCCTGCTGTGGTGTATGGGTTGGTGGGGAGGTGGACAGTGGTGTTGCCTGGCAATATCACAGCCGTCGTCGGCTGACCATTCCCTCCTAGACTACCTCCACACGTCGACATCCTTTGTCACCGTCCCTTGACACTGCCCAGGGTGTCGGGTGGGGGTGGGGGGGGGGGGGGGGGGGGTGGGTCTTGTGGCCGTTTTTGGTTGGGACCGTTTC